GAGCCCTACAATGAATTTCCTTGAAGGTCTTGCAATCTAGTTTGGTTTTCTAAGAGCCAACGGCTATGAATTATGCGAAGGGTCGCTGTGACTCCACAACAACTTGGCAGCGGCAGGCAGACACGTTTATTGGCTTCCGACCAAACTACAACTAAATGTATGTACAAACGTGGCAGAGGCACTACACTGGGGGGGTTGTTCTGTGCACAGTAGATAAATGAAGACAATGTATCAAGCTGATCTATAATATACAATGTAAGCACTCGTAGAGAGAAAAAGGTTGTCCCCAGGAATAAAACCGTCCCCGGAAAGCACAGGCAGCTAGCGTCGGCTCTTCACCGGCAACCTATACCGTGGCGATGTACAAACGCGCGGAGAAAGGTGTCTCGGTAGGGAGTTAATGTGATTTCGGTGGCAGGCCGTGTAACTCTGGTGTATTACATGGGGGTACACAGACCCCCATACAACGGCCTGGCTCCATTCTCACACTGAATGGCCCACTTATTTGTCGGGACCCTCCCCCCGCCAAGGCCCGTGACCCCGGCGCCATATCTGTGAATGGGATCTCTCACGCTCCAGTAAACTTATCAGAGGCAACACAAGACAAACTGTCTCTTAAACACACCATATGGTGCATTAACTTCCACTTAACACAGTTCAGCCCCCCACAGGCTGCTAGCTGGTGCGTGTTTGTGTATTTGTGTGTGAGGAGAGAGGGGGGGGGAGTGGGGGAAATACCAAAGAGCTTGCAATTCAATACAATACTTTGTCTTCAGCGCTGAACAGCTTGATATCTCCGCAGTGGTCTCTCTAATGAGCAGGGTGAGATCGCCGCTTTGATTTCATGTGGAGAGCGCAGAAGCGACGGCCATGGTTCATAGTGCAACACAGAAATCCAGGGACACCTCCTGAGCAAGTGCCCCCAATGTACTAAATACGCCAAGATGGCGCCCGCACCACTTTAAGTAACTAGTTTAGGGGCATTTGTTCAGGTTCATCCGGCTTAGTAAAGGGCCTCGTTCACACAGGTGATGGACTTCACCGCCCTTGTGAAGAACAATTCACGCTGGAACGCTTTTCAGAGGCGGTGGAATGGCCATCCCAAGGGGGGTTGTTATTGGAATACCGCAACTGCATGGCAAGCATTTGGCACTTGGTTGCAGCGCGGTCCCATTGACTTTAATGGGTGAACTTAACAAGTGGCACCGGCTTTTAAATGTGACATGCTGAGTTTTATCGGCCGCACTGCCAAGCAAGTGTCAAGGACGTGCCCTAGGCGGACCTATTTGTAGATAGCTGGTCGGGGAGGTGGTAGTAACGCAATAACCGCCCCTTTGCCGCCCATGTGTACTTGGCCTAATTAAGTGAATACCCAATCAAGGGCTAAGGAGACTTTTTTTTTTTATTGATTTTTTGCTAGAACACAATTTGATAAATGAAGCGATCTGATTGGATGAATGTAGATCCCCTATGATAATAAGCAACTGCAGCAATCAAAGGCGCTCGTTATCACACAAGGGGACCTTCCCCTGGCTAATAAGAATGTCAGGTACCCGCCACTGTGATTGGTGCCCCATCAAAAATAATGTATTCTATGTTCAATTCCCTTTCATTGGAAAAGTTAAATATGAATTGAGGGCCGAAACACACTTTTGTGATCCAGCACATTGCGGTATCACAGCACACAAGAAGGGGCAGGTCTGAATGGTCCCTCAATGATCAGGTTTCCACGTGTATAGCCAACATAAGACCTTCGTGTTTGTCCTTAAGGTTGGCCATGAATTGACCAAAGCCATCTATTAAAGGGCGATAATGAGCCAGAGATGCCTATTATCGCACAAGGAGACCTCATGCAACAGACCCGAGAGCCATGGAGAGGACCCGGCACTCTAACTAGCTGTCAATCAAAGATGGAATGGAAATGCATGGAAAATCTAATTGAAATCTGCTGACTAAGGCCGTCAAAAGTGTTCGCTATGTCGCAAGGAGGCTTCAACGTGCTGAGAATCATGGTTTGTACCCAACACTCTGAATACTTGCCCACAGGCAGGAGAACATCTCTTGGCTTCCCACATATCTCTCCATCTCATTATGCAGTATCTTGCAACATGTGTTGTGGCAATCCACCCTGTTATCTCCAGCAGGTCTGGAGTCATGGCCTCTTTTCTCACCTGACGGGGGTGGGGGAGGGGGGGGGGCTTTTCTTCAATCAAATTGATATTGGGTGATAATGAGCTCCTAGGGAAGTCAAAAGTGCTCGTTATGGAACAAGGAGTCCTACATTTGATGACAATCATGGTGGGTACCTGACATTCTGATTACTAGCCGAGCAGCAGGAGAACATCTCTTGGCTTCTCACATATGTCCCCATCTCATTGTGCGGTAGTTCCAGCATTTTGCAAAATTAGGGTCTCTTCAACCAAATTAAAATGAAATGGTAATGATCACCTAAGACGATCAAAAGCACTTGTTATGGTGTTCTGCGGACCTGATCTGTCGTTATAACCAGTGTTCTGCAGGCCAGATCTGAGGTTAGGACCAGTGTTCTGCGGACCTGATCTGTCGTTATAACCAGTGTTCTGCAGGCCAGATCTGAGGTTAGGACCAGTGTTCTGCGGACCAGATCTGACGTTAGGACCAGTGTTCTGCAGGTCAGATCTGTGGTTAGGACCAGTGTTCTGCGGACCAGATCTGAGGTTAGGACCAGTGTTCTGCAGGCCAGATCTAAGGTTAGGACCAGTGTTCTGCAGGCCAGATCTGAGGTTAGGACCAGTGTTCTGCAGGTCAGATCTGAGGTTAGGACCAGTGTTCTGCGGACCAGATCCGAGGTTAGGACCAGTGTTCTGCGGACCAGATCTGAGGTTAGGACCAGTGTTCTGCAACCAGACCTGTGGTTAGAACCAGTGTTCTGCAGACTGGATTCAGGGTTAGGACCAGTGTTCTGCAGACCAGATCCGGGGTTAGAACCAGTCCTGGGTTTAGGACTAGTGTTCTGCAGACCAGATCTGGGTTAGGATCAGTGTTCTGCGGACCAGAAATAGGGTTAGGACCAGTGTTCTGCGGATCAGATCTGAGGTTAGGTCCAGTGTTCTGCGGACTCTTTTAATCTAATTATAATTGGGTGGTAATGAGCCCCTGAGGAAGTCAGAAGTGCTCGTTATGGCACAAGGAGACCCAATCTTGCCGGAAATCCTGGTGGCTACCTGACATTCTGAATACTTGCCCAACAGCGGGTGAATATCTCTTCGCCATTTCACACATCAGTCAATCTTATTGTGCCGTATCTTTCCAACATTTTACCAAATTGTCCAGTGTTCTGCCAATCCACTCTCTTATCTCCAACAGATCTGGGGTTAAGGGCCTCCTTTTTTTTTTTCTCACCCCATGGGGGCTTTTCTTCTGTAGAATAAGAGATTAGGGGCCTGCCACGGCCCCCCCTTCCTCCCTCGGTGCTCATTCACCCCCACCAACTTTCACGCTGTCAGCGGACACAAAGGCGCAGAAAGCATGAAAAGGGGTAAAGTAGATTAACTCTGCAAAAACAGCTTTTAAAAATCTGTTAAGGCTACTCAGGGGACAGGAAGGGGGCTTAAGAGGCAGCCCGGGAACACAGAGACAAACCCGCACAAAGGGGCCGGACCCCCCCACACACACAGGGAGGGGGGAACCCTTTCAATGGATGGATGACTGCGATTGTCTGTTTTCTTAGAGGGGGAGACATTAATCATATGGGGACAAGCAGCTCAGACAGACGTTGACGTCCTTCCTTTCACTCTTTCAAGATCTCGGCACAAAAAAAGAGAAAGAAAAAAAAGTTTGGGGCTCCTCGAAACCCAACGGTCAGATATTTTTGTGTTTTTTGGATGTAAGACGAGTGGAACAAATCTGGCAGCTATTGGGTCACATCATTTAAAGGGGATGTACACCCAAACAGTGAACGTCCTCGTATTTGTTCCCTTTTAGTCTGTTAAATATTCCATTGAAAGCGCTTCGTTCAACAAGTGCAAAGAGTAGCTGCTGATCCTGCCGGAAATCGTGGCTGCTGAGAACTTCCTGTGTTATCAGTGACACTCAGTGGCGTCACGGGGGGGGGGGGGCGGCCTGTCACTCGGTCATGGCCTGAGAGCCCAACAGTTTCAGGAGAGAGGAGGAGACCCAGCGGCATACCTCATCCCGCCGGGTGAACAGCCCCTCCTCTCTCTGTTGGCGTCCACCACCAAGATGGCTGCCGGCAGGCGTCAATATGATGGCCTCGCATGCGCCATGACGTCATCGCGCATGCGCGTGGTGACGTCACGGAGGGGTGTCACCCGGTATCCGCTCCGGGTGACCCCCGGCCTTTGGACACCCCTGGTGACACTTTTCCCAGTCAGTGGTGTCAGAAAGGGGGTGCGGCCCGCACCCGGGTGCCACCATTGAAGGGGGGTGACACCAAAATGACTGACAGTCATTTTGGTGTCACCCCCTCTGAAAAGTCGGGCACTCGGTCATGGACTGAGAGCCCAACAGTGTCAGGAGAGAGGAGGAGACCCAGTAGCATACCTCATCCCGCCGGGTAAACGTCCCCTCCTCTCTCTGTCGGCAGGTATCAATAAGATGGCTGCGCATGCGCGATGAGGTCACGGCGGGGCGTCACCCGGTATCCGGGCCTCGGGACGCCCCCGGTGACACTGTCGCCAGTTATCTCTGTGGACAACAGGATGCCTCCCTACTATGTGGTGGAAAAGAGGAGAGGTAAAGGTCAGGGGCGTCCCGAGGCCGGGTGTCACACCCTGCTGTGTCGTCAACGCACGTGCGCATCACCTCGCGCATGCTCGATGACGTCATCGCGCATGCGTGCCCATCTGACTGACGCCTGCCAGCGGCCATCTTGATGATGGACGCCGGTAGAGAGAGGACGGGGCGTTCACCCGGCGGGATGAGGTATGCTGCCGGGTCCCCTCCTCTCTCCTGACACTGTCGGCCTCTCGGTCCATGACATATGACATAAAGATCAATGTGCGTGCGTGCTGGGGTGCATATTTTTTGTAGGCATCGTCATGCTTCGTGTGTTGCCTTGGTGCATCATTGATGCACATTGACGCGCGTTTTTTTAAATTGAGGATTTGCGCTTCCCTATTCCAGGAGATTGGGTGGCAAGTGCGAGCAAGGTGCACTCACCCACGGCAACCAACCAGCAGAAAAGCTGCTGCGTACCGTCCCTTTAAATAATATATATCTATGTTTTTGATGTGAGAGGCAGCATTTCTCTTTCCTGCGTCCGTTGCAGTGATCAGACGGCAGATGATTAACGAGGAGCGACGAGAGTTTTGAAGCAGCAAAAATCTGCTGCGTTTGGTTGCAGCGTCAGCGCGATGGAAACTTCTTGTCATCCGAGCGGAAAACCGCCACAAAGCGCGAACAGTCAGCTGCGCCCGAGCCCGCAATGTCGGAGGATGGGCTGTTATACAGAAGGGGGAGGGGGGTATCTGACGGCAGCTCTGCCCCCATGGCGACCGACCGGTCCCTCTCGGTGCGGCTGATCTCAGATTCGGTCTCGGGACTTCGCGCAGCCCTCAGCTCCTTCACTGGAAGGTAATGAGCTGCAAATCACAATCTTCCTCAATGGGAAAGCAAGACGCAGAATTACGTTTCAAATGAGACTCGTGAACTGTGTTTAAGGATTCTTTTAAAGCGGGGGTGGGCAACCTCGGTACTCCAGCTGGGGTGGAAATACAAATCCCACCATGACTCTGGCTTTCAGAGTCCTGCAATGCCTCGTGGGACTTGTAGTTCCTCAACATCTGGAGGGCCGAGGTTTGCCGACCCCTGGCTTTAAAGCATTATCTATTATTGGTATTTACATAGCACCGACAATAAACACAGTGTGCATTCACATCAGGCCCCGCCCCCGAGGAGCTTACAATCTAAGGTAGATAGGGAAATCTAAGGTAGATAGGGACCTTAGATTGTAAGCTCCTCAAGGGTGGGGACTGATGTGAATGCGCACATACGTCCATAAAGGTGCCAATTAGCCTTTTAGCATGTCTTAGGAGTGTAGGAGGACACAGGAGTACCCGGAGGAAACCCACACCAGCGCTGGGAGAACATGCAAACTCCATGCAGATAGTGACCTGGCTGGGATTCGGACTGCCCCCCCCCCCAGTGCTGTAGGCAGAAGTGCTAACCACTAAGCCCCTGTGCGTCAAAACTTTTCATTTAAAGTGTATCTATAGCAACAACAAAAAAAGTTGTTTTGGATGGAGTGGGTAAGGGTTAGACCCTGTCAGGTTTTGCTTCTAGCCCTTAGAGAGAATTCCCCTCACTTCCTGTCTGGGGGACCAGACAGGAAGTGAGGGGAAATCTGCAAAATAAGAAACCAGACCACAATAAAAAGCTCATAGATGGATCAGGGATTGAAGCTCCGTATGGTATATTCCAATGCAAAATCAGGTAAGAATCATACAGGAAATCCGACGCGTTTCGGGGCCAAAGACTGACACCCCCCCCCTCATCAGGGCTTAAGAATAGGAAACAATGTATACAGATTGGATGGAAGATGCATTGGGAGGAATTAATCAAAACTGGAGCAGCTTTTCAGGGCAACCAATCAGCATCTCTCTTCAGTATGTTCAGTTAAGATTTGAACCTGAAAGAGAGAAGCTGATTGGTGGCCGTACACAGCTGCTCCAGATTTTGATTAATTCCCCTCAGTATGTATGGTATTTCAGTGGTGAAGCGCAGCGCCTGTAGCTAATGGTAACGGTAAGCTCTCCGTCAGAATATAAAGGAACCACAGTGCTCTGCTACATGCCACTGTTGTGCACACTCAGTCGCTGTGAGGCAGCATATGTTCGCAGGAGGTCATTATTATTATTATTATACGGGATTTATATAGCGCCAACAGTTTGCGCAGCGCTGTACAATATAAGGAAGACATTACAATCACAATACAATTCAAGACAAGATGGTAAGGAGGGCCCTGCCCCTGAGAGCTTACGATCTAAAAGGGGAGGGGACCTCCCGAGCGCCGGCGAACGTTATCACCTCGCTTTCAGCAGGTTCGCTAAAGCAGAACAAAAAAAAAGCCACACAACCTGCACTTCACGCTTCGGCTCACATTTGATTTGCGCGGCGAGCGCGCGCACCTTCGGGAAAAGC